ACATCATCAAATTAATAAAATATACAGCAAATGAGAAACAAATGACAGAAAAAGGAATAAAAACAGAATATCTCGAAAAGTAGTCATAAATAATCATATTTACAAGATTTAAATGTGTAGATTATTTAAAGAAGGCTAATGGTTTGATTACTAATGGTAAAGGTATATTTGCAGCCAGTTTAAACGAGTAACGAGAAAGGATTTTCCTCTACATCAATCGCGGATGTTTGGTTAATATACACAGCAAAATATGGGGACCCAAAACAACTCTATGGGTGTTAATTTCAACCCTTTGAAAGTGTCTCATGGGGTCCACTCAAAACAGAGTTAAATCAACACTTTCAAAAGGGTTGGCACATTGACACCGAAGTAAGGGTTAATTTCAACTCTGGGCAGAGTTAAAATATGTAACTATATTTAACACCGCCTGGTGTAATATATTGTTATTTTATTCAACTCTCTTGAGTGTAAATATGGTAAAAAGGTCAAATAGACTGTAAATTACAAAAGAAAATACATTTTATTTGAAAACATTCACCACTCCAACAATTCATTCAGGTTTTAAAATGCAACAATGTCAAATATGCTTTAAATGTTTTATTAGTACAGACAGTATCAACAAAATATGTATGACCAGTGCTCAAAAAGGCTGTTTCAGTCCTTTGGTCCAAACTTGATGTTTCATCAGTGCAATTTGAAAGTTCAATATAGCGTCACTCATAGTTTTCTTCTGAACGCATAGTTTTCTTCTGAAATTACATTTTAAACAACTTGGCGTGCAAATCTTTCACTTCTTGTGTTTCCTTGGTCCTCCATATCAAACGCAGCAGTTTAAATGAAGGTACAAATGCTGTAAACTTGTGTGAAAACAAACTGGAGCTAGGAAATCTCATCAAGCATGTCCTGTGAATGAAGTGCTTCCCAGCCACAGGATGACCTTTTTATCCATGACGATGTAGCAGCTGCTGATCGCTCATCTGGTGGTTCCTGATGCACGGATATAGGGTGATGCTCATCTAAGAACTCTTCAAGACTCCAGCATGAAAAGAAAAATGATAAGAAAAATGTTTGAAAACAAATTGCAGTCAAATTCTATGATATATTTAAAAGAACATTTAAAGTAAATAAAACATTCAAGAAATCTAAACTCACCTTTTAAAAATCTTCATGATGATCCACAACTTGACTCTCCCAGCTGGTTGAGGTGACAGGATATGGAAGAGTAGAAAAAACACATACATCACTGTTGGATCTCCAAAAACAATTAGGTTAACCACTATGGCTAGAACTGGAAAAACAGGCAGCTGTCTGTCCAGAATCCTGAATTTAACACAACACTTGGAGCAAAATTTAGAGGAGCTTAAAATCTTTTATATCATTTAGTGATGCTGACTTCCCCAAAATATTGGCCACAATGTAAAAAATATTCATAAACTTACAGTTTTCTGTAAGCGTGTGTGTGCATGTGTGTGTGTGTGTGTTTCTTTACCAGATTCAACTTGTTAGGCCCTTTCAGGTCCAGTATTGACGCCACCTTTCCTGGAGTCCAGCAGATGTTTCAGGTCCAAATATAATCTAAAATATTAGGATAAGCAGAAGAGGAAAAGTGCAAAGCAAAGAGCAAAACATTATTTAAGTAACAGTTCACCCACAATACAAAACTTATCACCTTCATGTCATTTGTTATTCTCTAATGCTCTAATACCCTCTTAGCTTATTGTGAAACAAATACTGAACTTTATCAAACATACCTTCATTATTATCACCACATATGACCAAGAAGGTGTGCTTGGTCATTTCACCAACTCTGGAAATACACCATCCGTCTCTAATCAGCCACCGTCACAGGGTCTTGTGTTATTGTACAGAGAACTGTGGCTGTTAAAAAACAACAACACATTAGTATCCACACATATGCATAACCTTCAGATAAAAAAGAGAGATAAACATCACAAAGTATGCCTCACACTTTTTCAGATATCTTTTGATTTAGATGTTGATTATTGATAATAAATCTACAAATCAAACCTGTATCATCATTAGGCTGCTCAAATATGAATCAGTTGATTAATTTTACAGACAGGTGGCTGTTTACAACGCACTAAATTGTCTTTAATAAAACGTAAATGTTGTGTACAGTACATGCTAAGTTTAGACAATAGTTTTAAGCACAATATCATGCGGGAGAAAAAGCTTGACTAAGATGTTCCTGACTACAGAAATAGCCTAACTTACTAACGTCAGACATCCCGAGTTGGCAAAAGTCATTTTTGTGGGATACAGAGTTGATTTGCGGGAGGTAGCGGGAGAGATGAGTACCTGAAGAGCAATGAGATGAGTTGCGCGCGACGTACCTAAAGAGAGGTGGGGGAGACTTGCGCGCGACGTACCTGAAGAGCTGGGAGGGATGCGGTGGAGAGGGGTGTGCAAAGTGTTTAATGACCGGGCGGGAGACGCGCGATTTCCAGGAGATTATCATTCATTTGCGGGCATCTACTTGGGCATTTGGGAATCTCTGTGCATTTGCGGGATAACGTTAACGTTAGTTCCGCAACTTCCGGGAGACTTCTGTAACGTCAAATGTCTGATAAAGTGCAAACGCGGTCATTTAAAGACATTAATGTTAACATTCCGACTTTAATGGTTGTCAACACTTAATATAATTACGTTATCACACGAGTCTATGGACTAACGGTATATGGACGGCCACGAATGAACCAGTTTAAAGGGGCCGCGGTGTTTAAAATAACCAAATTAACGTACACGAATAACAAACAATCATATGTTTTAGTCAGGAAGCCTTTTACAAGTAAGCATGTTCATTTACTCACCAGATATGTTTTAGAAACTCTCCAGAGCTCATGGAAACCGTCCTGTGTTGCCATTAGCATCCAGGCAGAGTAGGCTAACGTTAGGCGCTCCGGGGATTCCCTCGCTAGTTTGCTTCGAATTAAAGGAGAAGTGTCGATTTTATTTTACAGATGGGTAACAACGCACAAAATGGCATTAAGCGTGACAGAAATGTGTTGAACATGTACATTTGATGTTTTTATGCACTATGTATGCGTGAGCATATATAAAAACATTCTTGAAAAGAAGTCAATAGTAATGCAGTTAAGCTAGATACACAAACGACCATGAATGAACCGCAGAAGTTTAAAATTGTCACTCCATTCTAAAGTTATTAACTTAACAATATGTTTACAACTGTATTTCCTTAAAGAAAGTCAGTAAAATACCAACATTTAGGTAGTTTGACTCACCAGTTGCTGTTCTAAACCTCAGATGGAAAATGGCGTCTGGAAAATTCTTCAGTGACTGGGGCTGCATGAATTCCCGGATGTTGGAAATAACACCACCAAGTGTTGAAAAGATAACTCCTTGATTTCGCACTGAATAAAATCAATTTTAACTCTTATTATATTCATTTATCAAAATCTAACTCTTTAACGTCAACACTTTACTCTGAAATGCTTCAACACCGAGAATTTAACTCTGAAGAATTTGCTGTGTAGGCGGAACAACTACAGTGTAGAAGAATGATAATAACTGTTAAAAAAAACGTGTCACTAAATATACTTAGACGGCCCGCTCAAGTAAAGTATAGTATGTGTGGCAAGCACTGAGTCAGACTAAATAGTATAAACTTTGATTAGCCGTCTTGTTTGTAATCAAGTCAAGTCGAGTCTTTTTTGGATATTTGTCAAGCAAGTCTCAAGTCCTTAATTTTGTGACTTAAGTCTGACTCAAGTCAAGTCATGTGACTCGAGTCCCCCATCTTTGCTGAGGGTATACGCAATTATTGATCCTCGGAAGTCATAATACCCAAACAGCTTGTGGAAAAAAGTAGGCATACTGCGTATACATGCGTATGGCCTCGACTACACCACTGGCTGTTGGATACCATTATGTACTTTTGACGTTTTTTATGCAAGAATGTAGTTTTTTAGATTGCAACTATGCCGTTTATTTATAAGGATAGTGCCTATTTTAAAATATTTATAATTTCTGAGAGACAGCGCGTGAGCAACCATTAGCCTTTCATTGAGCAGACCAAAGAAGGTTGATGTTGTCTATCCACAAAATGGTGAAAGAGACCGCATAATAAGCCCTTACAGGCGAGGAAAAACCCAGCGTAATTTTGAACTACAACTGATCAAATCATTATAAAACTGGTAAGTCACTTTCTAAGTCAATCTCTTTCTTTTGTATGTTGCAGTTCTGTATTTATTATACCGTATAATTGTAGTGTATTGAGCGTGAGATGGGACTCGCATATTAGGAATGTATGTATTTTGTGTTGGCCCTCAGTTACTTTTTGGTTGGCTATCTGTTTGTAATGAGTCTCCTGTTTTCGTTACTACACACTAGTCCAGTAAAAAAAAAAAAACAGAAGAAATGGCCCCATGTGTTTAGCATTTTTCCTTATCACAAACACAACAGTAATCTGTTAGTGTTTGTGCTGCTTGGACATTTTCTGTGTTTATTATTGTGATCTCCCGATTGCAACAGAGAAATACTGGGAAATCTCTGTAGACAGATGGCATTTCATGCTGTTCAGCCTTATAATCTTAAAATTTGAGCAAACTCACCTGTTTTGTCATCACTTCAGACCTTACAGCTCTAAAATGCCGTTGGTGAATGAGCAACCGTTTCGGCTGTTCTGACATCAGCTGCAGATGTGAAGGAATGGCAAAAGAAAGTAGTTCCTCATCCAAAAGGGTTTTGAGACTCATATATAATGTTAAATTTTAGTGTATAAATTTAATTAACACAACAATCTGTAAAGAGTGTGACCATATTTTTTCGTGAGATTTAGTCACACGTGTCACACGCTCTCACTTTATCCATCATTCATGTCCCAACACTCACCCTTGTGGTCTCGACTTGTGGTCTCGACCCCTTGAAAGCCTGTGCACAGACAGCAAGTACACAATTGTCCAAGATCTAACAAGAGCAAAGCTTTTTAAGGCACAATTCTAAGGCGTCCACCCATAATCAGGAATCGAGATTTATAAAGTTTTGTACTCCTTTAGGCTCTCAGTAAGGACAATATCTTTGACATAATCAAAGAGTTCACGGGTTTTTGTGGTGTCCATGGCGCATATAAACTGACAATGAATGTTTCTGCAGGTATTTGTCTCTTGGCAATGTGTTTTTTCTTCATAGAGCTTTCTGATGAACACCATTGCATCATGAACATTCTGACGTTTGCCTGAAAGTGGAGCCAAAACCACAGAAGAATGAGAAACTTAACAAAATTTCACACAAAATGCTCCTTTTCACTTTAATATGCACTAAACTATACCTTCAAATTCAGGAAAGTTGTTTACTAGATCGGAGAACTGAATTTTCTCTTCTAAGATGTCTGTTTTATTCAGGAAAAGGATGATTGATGTTTTAGCAAACCACGGCTTGTGGATGATAGTGTTGAACAAAGACAAACTTTCTCTCATTCGATTCTAGAAGCAAAGAGAGTTGGAGGGTACATCATACAACATATAACATCATGGTATTTTTTAGCAACAGCAGAATTAATAACCATTGAATTATTAGAAACATACATGGTTTTACATTGTACTTATATACTTTTTTACACTGTTTTACATTGTGCTTATATTTTAAAATGTATCTGCATGTAATTTCATCTAGTTGCACTTTTAACCACCCTGGTGACCCATTCCTTAAACCTAAACCCACTATTAACAAATCTCTCTCGAACCTTAATCGTATCCCACTTCAGTAGCAACAGAAATGTTATGCAATACACTATTAATACAATAAGAACTTTGTACTTTATTTTTAGATTCACATGCAGTTTTAAGACCACTTATTATGAAATATGTGTATTTGTAAGTAGTACTAATTAATACATTCATTAATTTTCCTTCGACCTAGTCTCTTATTTCTGTGTGGGGTCGCCACAGCAGAATACGCCACCACTAATTAATGCATATGTTAAAAAAGCTAGTATTATTCCAAAAGTGTAATATAATCAGTAAATAATAATGTTTTTTTTTTTCATATTGTGGGAATATTTGATATTTATACATAAGGTGCCTTCTTTTAGGCCACAAAAGAAAAAAGGAGAGAAGAAGAAAATGACCTCACTGCTGTCCTCCATCAGCACTTCATCATACTCGCTGAGAGAAGCTACATATAAGATCGCTGTCACATTCTCAAAGCAATGAATCCACTTCCTTCTCTCAGATTTTTGACCCCCAACATCTACAAACCTGGATGGACAGAAAGACAAAGATCCTCATTTCAGTTTGGATCAGACCAAGAGGTGGGTAAAGTATCCAAACTCATTTTGATAGTTGTAAAGTTTGTGTAGGTTGAGGGTCATATCAGAGAAAATTATCTTTTGTAAGAAATTGCTTAACAATATATTAATACTAACTATACTATAGATTAATTTACACAAAATAAATTAATAAATAATTGGGAGATTCAAATAAAAAAGAGAAGCTGTTTTTATTTTTCAGAGATATAGCTAGCTCATTTCAGGGATGTAGTATTGACAAATATAGATATTTTTATAACAATAATTAGACATGTAAGTAGTCACACACAAACACGTATATTTTTATGTGTGTGTTCACATACATATACAGATATATGTAACGGATTGCCATTCCAGCACCTGAAAAAGGAAGTATTTGTTAACATGCCAACCCAGACTCATTCTAAAAATTTACCTCTATATACATTTCTGAAGACTGCAAAATATGTCCCAGGTGGATGTTTTTTTTTTTTTGCAGTTTTTGTTGTCACGAATCCACGAGCAGCCGCCTGTGTACGCTTTTTCAGATCTCAAATTTCTCTCACGAGTGTCATTCGCACCTGCTGTTCTCACGTAAACCCACCAGAGGCCACTGTTGATTGACTGGTTGACTGACTGACTGAAAAATCGTCTGACCCACCCTCTTCCTTCCTCAGATCCAACCAATTTTATTGATTGACCCGCCCACCCACTGCACAACCAACAATTTTCAAAAGCAATCCAGAAAAAGAAAGCCCTCATCTGATTTTTACCACATTTTACCACATTCTCACCCTGTTATTTACTTGTTTATTTAATGATTTAGCTTCTATTTTTGTCTTACCCACTTTCTGGAACTGTTTTTCATTGTCGTGGTCAACTTCTCTCTACGTCTCAAGTTCGCTGACGTACATGGTAAGCTAACAAGACAAACTGGTTACAGCGGGAAAGCTGTCCATACGGAGGTAAGCGGTCAGTGGGTAAGCTCAAAGAGGAATTTCATACTGCCCCGTAACCAGGGCCGGAGTGGGACTCCTTTTCAGCCCTGGAGTTTCAAGCCTCAGACCGGCCCACCTCAGTTCACGACTGACTATATTAAAATAAGGTCATTTCCAATTCAGTTTCTAATTACACTATCACGTCTTTTTTTGAGAAAACAGCTGCTTTAGAACTTGAAATGTTCGACAACCCAAACAGTATTATATGTCTCAACAGTAAAAATGAAAGTAATAATTTACTCAGTAGAGGATCAAACCCGGATCGACGACGTTGTAATTTAACGTGCTAACCACTGGACCACAACGGTTGTATAATGTGTAGTGACCTATAACATTATGAACCTGCAGGCCGGTTATATATGAAAAGAGCAGAGAACTGTATTAAATTATGAATAAGAAGACTGTTGTCAAGTAAATAAATAAATTAATTTAAAAAGTGTGTCTGCTTAGAGCAACAGATTCTGGAGCTAGGGACACCGGCCCTCGCGGCCAAAAAATGGACCGGCCCACCGGGAATTCTCCCGGTCCTCCCGATTAGCCAATCCGGGCCTGCCCATAACGGTTATTTAAAAAAATGAAATGCAGCCATACATTTACGTACCTCTGGCTACATAATTTGCACGTTTTCATAATAAGCCTGTTGTAACATACATTATGTTTTGATAAGATGAACATGAGTCAGTATAATGACTTTTTTTCAATTTAGATGAACTTGAGATATGAAAAGTAGCTCTTTTTCAAAAAAAATAAATGTTGCTCCTGACATTCTGACAGGCCTGGATTAGACCCTTAAATTCCTCTTCTGTTTTTTTTTTCTATTACGTTCTGTTGAATTCTCAATAACATAGCAGCTAAACATTTACATGACATGACAGAATTCCATAATTTGTTTGGTTTGGTTGTTGGCTGTCGTACCTGAGTATAATCTTCTGGACACTAAAAGTGTACTCTAGGATGCCAGTTGTAGACACACGGACACGGAGAATATCTTGACATGTAGGGATGTAATCATCAGCTGCGATGCGGTCTAAGTTATCAATGAAGCTATTTAAAAAACAAAGTATATTAGCTATTATTATTATCAATGATATTATCATAATCATCACTTTAATTACCAGCTATACTTTGTGCTATTGAATAGCCTATGAAAGCACAGTAATTGCACAATTGTTTATGCATAATTATACATTCATCGCATGACTTGTCAGCAGCATTAAAGAAAAAAAAATAAATGCCAAGACTTACTACTTAGTGGAGTCTAGCTTAAACTGTCCGCCGTCTTTGTAGCAGGTCTGAAAGCCTTCATCTGCCCATAGATGACAAATAGCTTCTATATAATGTCTTTGTAACTTCTTCACCATTTCTGGGTCTTGATTTTGAATTCTTTGAGCATAAATCTATTTTCACAGATGAAATAATATCACAGATGACATAAATGAAAATGAATGAAAAGATATCTTTTTTTTTTATTTTTTATAATTGTTAAAGCTTTTATCACAGTTTACATTTTGATCACGGTGTTGACCTAAGCTGTAAAAAAAGATTACTTTAACAGGTATATTAACCAAAAAAACCTATGAATTTGTACAATCTCTTTCTTACATTTTAGATTTGCTCATCCCTCAATGAGGCTTGGTTTAGGGGGCATGCCTCCTTTTAAAAATCTTGTGTTTTTGTACAGCTGAAATATGAATTCATACAAATTAGCCACTAAACTGATCAAGCGTGAAGTAGTTACTAAGGATGTCCAGATCCAATCACGTCATCGGAAATCAGGCCCAATCACATGTTTTCAGACTCGCTGGTAATCGCACGTTACCTCCAGATCAGGACTTGAATATATACAGTTGAAGTCAGAATTATTAGCCCTCTTCAAATTTTTTTCTTCTTTTTTAAATATTTTCCAAATGATGTTTAACAGAGCAAGGAAATTTTCACAGTATGTATAATAATATTTTTTCTTCTGGAGAAAGTCTTATTTGTTTTATTTCGGCTAGAATAAAAGCAGTTTTTAATTTTTTAAACACAATTTTAGGGACAAAATTATTAGCCCCTTTAAGCTTTATTTTTTCTCGATAATCTACAGAACAAACCACTGTTATACAATAACTTGCCTAATTCCCCTAACCTGCCTTGTTAACTTAATTAACCTAGTTAAGCCTTTAAATGTCACTTTAAGCTGTATAGAAGTCACTTGAAAAATACCTAGTAAAATATTATTTACAGTCATCAAGGTAAAGATACAATAAATCAGTTATTAGAAATGAGTTATTAAAACTATTATGCTTAGAAATGTGTTGAAAAAATTAGCACTCCATTAAACAGAAATTGGGGAAAAAATAAACAAGCGGTCTAAAAATTCAGGGGGGCTAATAATTCTGACTTCAACTGTATATATTTATTGAATATATATTTATTTATTCAAGTCCTGATCTGGAGGATCCCCCTCCCAGAATTATTAGAGTCCCTGTTTATTTTTTTCACCAATTTCTGTTTAACAAATTTGTTCAACAAATTTCTAAACATAATAGTTATAATAACTCATGTCTAATAACTGATTTATTTTATCATTGCCTTGATGACAGTAAATATTAATTGACTAGATATTTTTCAAGACACTTCTATAAAGCTTAAACTGACATTTAAAGGCTTAACTAGGTTAATTAGGTTAACTAGACAGGATAGGGTAATTAGTCAGGTTATTGTATAATGATGGTTTGTTCTGTAGACTATCAAAAAAAATTGCTTAAAGGAGCTAATAATTTTGACCCTAAAATGGCTTTTACAAAAAATTAAAACTCCTTTTTTTTTCTAGCCAAAATAAAACAAATAGGACTTTCTCCAGAAGACAAAATATTATCAAACATACAGTGAAAATCTCCTTGCTTTGTTAAACATAATTTAGGAAATATTTAAAAAAGAAAAAAAAATCAAAGGGGGCTAATAATTCTGACTTTAACTATATATATATATATATATATATATATATATATATATATATATATATATATATATATATATATATATATATATATATATATATAATTTTTTTATTTTTTTTGTGTGTGTGTGTTTATATATTCTCATAATTTTTTAACACATCTATAGATTTGCACTGACACAGAGTTTGACCTCTTTTTTGAATTTACACAGAAACAGCAACACATGCAGCATGACATCACTTTGCTGCAGAGACACTATTGGTTAAATGCTGGCAAAGTAGAACACGAAAGCAGCTTAAAGCGGAAAGCGTGAGTATGTCTGCAGTCTGGAGGTATTATAAAGTTGATGACGACAACATTGCTATGGTAAACTGTGAGATATATAAACGGGATTGCCGACTGGATATTTTTAAGTTGAGGTGTTATTTGTTTTAATATTAGATTTTTTTTTATAATTACTGCTGCACTAAAGTCCAAAAGTGAGGGATTGATGCTATTTATTACTTGATTGTTCCAGCTACCTCACAGAAGTGCTCTGTTTGTTAACAGAGTTGTTGAATGTTAAAATAAAGTGAATTAAATAAAAAAATCAGGAACATCCTGGATCTGTTTCTTCGCTCTTCTTTATTCTTTTTGTAATGTATTATAGAAGTATCGGATCGGGTTTCAGTATCGGTAGATATGCAAAATCAAATGACTCGGACTCAATCGCAAAAAAACCTGATCGGGACATCCCTAGTAGTTACGTTTCCTTATGACATTGGGCTGGCTTGTCTGTCTCGCTGCTGTTTTTGACTGTCTGGCACCAGTTTGTCACTGAATATTATGCAGGTTAGTGTATGCTTCATTTAGACATTTTTGGTTTCTGTTAGCTTTGTGTTTACTTAAAGAATTAATAAACTATTTTAGCTCTGATCATTCATTCATTAATTTTCTTGTCGGCTTAGCCCCTTTATTAATCCGGGGTCGCCACAGCGGAATGAATCACCAACTTATCCAGCAAGTTTTTACGCAGCAGATGCCCTTCTAGCCACAACCCATCTCTGGCCTGGGAAACATCCACACACACACACACACACACACACACACTACAGACAATTTTTGTCTACCCATTTCACCTGTACTGCATGTCTTTGGACTGTGGGGGAAAACCCACGCGAAAACCCACCCGGAGGAAACCCACACTACCGCAGGAAGAACATGCAAACTCCACACAGAAATGCCAACTGAGCCGAGGATCGAACCAGCGACCTTCTTGCTGTGAGGCGAACGTGCTACCCACTGCACCACTGCGTCGCCTAGCTCTGATCAATGTTTTATAAGTAATAACCAGTACAAAGTATATCCAGGCTGTCTTTTTCGCAGAACAAAGCCATTCAGTCTTATACAATGTGTTGCTATCACAACAATGCATGTTCATTTATTTGATAGTGAATTTCACCATGTCTTCCTTAAATCCATTTGTAAAAGTAATGCATAGAAATGATGATGATCATTAAAGTTTTCTTAGCATGTGTAAAATACTTGAAATATATATAAATAATTTAATCCATATTTGTCCATAATATAAATATTTAACTTTTGTATTTTCCTATCCAACCGCCACCCATATCTGTTATTATAAATTGGTCTTTATTCATCTCTAAAAAGCTCTGAAGTTACATTAAAAACAAAACCATTGTTCACCTCATTCTGTGGACTGGTGTAAGGAATCTTTAGCTTGATCATTGCTCGTATAAGTGCTTGCATAGCTTGAAAGATATTCTGGTAAATCAGTCTTGCAAAGCAATGCCTCTCCTCTTCTGTATATCCTTTTCCATGAATGAGCCTCAGCTGCTTCATAAATGTTGACTTTCCGCTATCTGCCGTGCCTAAATTAAAGCAAAAAAAGATCATGTTTTCAGCAATAAAAACCGACAAACATCTGTAAATATACTGGTTTGCATAACAGGTTTAGTCATTTCCTTTTATGCACAGTGGAATCCTATCAGTACTGTGTAAGTATACAATAATCTGGGTCTAATTATTCTAACGATTCATTTGTTCCCAAACCCCTTATTAGCACAATGCTAATCTATGCTGATTGGTCCGATGACCCAGTCCCAATTTGTTGCAATTGCGTTCAGCGTGATACAGAGAAAATCACTCACCACAGCTTATTAACAATTTTAAAGTAGTTAGAGTGCAGAGGATATGTGTGAGCCCAATGCATGAGTGCATTAAAACATCAGCATATTTCTCTATTCTTAACCATGACACACATTTTGTAACGTGATCGCCGCATATGTGTAGAAACAGCTGATGGTGGCCATAGCAACAACTAACGGCAGAGGATCTCGAGGTCACAAACTCATTTAAATCCATAAAGAAAGTGGCACGCATGGTTTTAGACATGATTTGTGAATATAAAAAGTTAACCTGATACACTACAAGCCACGTGGAGCGGTTACAAGTAACAAAGCACAATTAAATACACATTTTGTAAGCTAGAAAAAACAAGGAGGCAACGATTTCAATCGCACTTAAGTTACTTACACTTGTGAAATGGAGGAAGAAACTAATCCATGAACTGTGCACTGTAAAGTTCCTGTCAAGCTCTGACAAAGTCATATACATCAGTAGTCTTTTCTGATCCTTCCTTTAACAAACAACCGACGAATCCTCCGTTGTAAGCATGTAGATTGCTGAAGCACTCATCAAATAACAGGAACAGCACAAGGCTGAGGCTATAATGCTGATGTATTTTTGCAAAAATAAACCCCAACCACTGACTCTTCACAGCCTCATCTTTGGATAGGGAAAGTAACACTCACTTTCCTTCACACTTCAGAGCACAGCGTATTCACGACATGATTCAACTGGGATCTGCTACAATGTTTGTCTTCCTCTTTTTCTTTCTTCAGTGCTTGTGGGTGGGGCTGGGGGCTTTAAATTTACCAGGATCTGGGCGCACAACAAATGGGCGGGGCTTCGTGCCGTATTGACGTCACACTGGCACGGCTAAAGATTCATTACCCCAACGATTCATTTAAACCACTCTGAATCGACCCTTTTATATATGAATCAATAGTTTTAAACATGGTGCACTTTCAGATTTAAGTTTTTGCTGGATATTTTACTTCACTTAGACCTGTGTTACACACTGCATAGAAGATCATTTTCAAAAATCCATAATAGGGGCTTTAAAAAAAAAAAAAAAAACTTTTCAAAAATCATAAAGTAAACTTGAATTATGTAAAAAAATTTACAGGTTTGTCAAAACACTTTCATTAGTAATATTTTTAGATAATTATCATTTTAATATTTGACATATATTGTAAAGCTTTAACAATCAAGTGATGGGAAATAAAGTCATCTAAAATGACCTCTTGAAGTTATAGATTCACCTAAACTAGATTATGTAAGTCCAAAAAAGATGGCATAGTAAACACATACGGTATATCAAATTTACGTATTTTATTTATTCATTATTGACAACTTTCTCCTTCTTTCCTGTGTGTGAGGAATATATTAAGTGAGAAAGTAAAATAAATACGTGAAATATTCAGGAGATAAAATTTCCTATTAAAACAATGACAGAATCATCTCACCTAATAAAAGCAGCTTATATTGTGCCTGTTGTTGTTTCTCCTGCTCAGCAAGTACGCGGTTGATTTCCTTATCTATGGCAGACTTTTCTCTGTCTTCTTTAGAAACGCAACAGATGCAGCAGTAATACTCCATTGTTCCAACATGTATAAAACTACAAGTACAAAATAACAACAACATAAATTATAATATTCTGCGTTATTACTGTTATAAGCCAATATAACCCACCGGTTCTTCACCACCCACCAGCTCAGAGATAGGGTTGAACCAACGACTCTTTGCATGGAAGTCGGTTGCTCTAAGGATCATGGCTTCTAGCATCTGTCACTAGAGCACCTTTTCAGGTTCACAGGGGGGATGTTTACCTACATAGTACTTCACTGGCTGGCCTCTGTTACACCAAGTAAGATTTTTGAACCATAGACCTGCAGTATTAAATGATCGATGTTCTTTATATAATATGTTTTGTAAAGTACATGACATACATGCTGTCTTTGACAAATTTAAGCCTGTGACTATGTCTATTGCAGGAGACTTGTCCATTTAACGCCCTCTCCATGTAATGTTGTTCCTACTAGACTTGACAGAGTTTTTTCCTACTTTTTAAAAAACCCAAACACCTTGTAAATGCTACTGATTTTCCTTACTTGAAGGAATATCATACATATCACAAGGTATTTTGCCAAAAAAGACGTAACCAAATTGAAGTTTTTTTGGGCTTTATGGGTTACACATACTAGATCGGGTCTATACTTCACTGAGAAAGTAAAAACTAAAACTATTACTTGCAGGTACATCATAAACATTATTGCTTTTGCTTACATGATGGAGTATCCTACATATCATAAGCATTATTTTGCAAAAAAAACAACATGCAATTAAATTTAAAGGTTATTAAGGCTAAAATCGAGATACACGTAGCCAGATTATATCTGGTCTATACTTCACCCAGACAGTGAAATGATGGCTATTGCTTGCTGGGTAGTGCCATCTGCTATTGCTATCTGGAATTATCAATTATATTTCTGGCCCATTTGCAAATTACCCTTTCTTTTAAACATTCTTAAAAAGATTGTCTGTAGCCAGTTGATGACCTATATGAAATATTAGGATTCAGTCCATTTTTGAAAAGCACACAACACAAAATTTCATTGAAAAGTTTCATTGATATTTTTTATAGCTGCTGATTCTGGTGATTGTGTTATTCTTCTGCTTCTTGATTTAACGGCAGTGTCTGACACTGTGGACAATGATATTTAGTTGATGGGCATTAAGGGCACTTGATTTATGTCTTATACCTGCACTTTTTGTGTCAATTGCACTGACTCTATGTCCTCCTTGGCCTCGCTTTTTTGTGGAGTACTGCAGGGCTCTCTTTTTCTCTGTAGATTTTTCAGTAAATAAAGGCAATGTATTTTGGTGCATTGAAACAAAACAGATTTATTAAACAGATATATTTATTAAAATAATAATTAAGTCAAAAAACATTTAGAAATGGAAAAATAATACAAATAAATTCAAACAGATTACTGCAAAAAAAGACAACCTACAAATTTTCAATGAAATTTTTCAATTGTTTTGCATCTCCTGATTTTTCCTCTTTTTAAAATTTGTATTTAATATTTTTCTATAACATAAAAATTTGGGTGTACTAGTTTTTGGACTGTTATCTTAAGTTATTTTGTTAGATAAGCTCCAGATTTGGCTTCAATACTGAGTAATCTAATGTATATGCACAAATATAATATTGTATAGCTTCTATTAAAAGTATTAATTTAAAAGAGAGACTTGTGAGGGGTGTACTTATTTATGCTGACCACTTTATACTAACAAGTAATTGAGGTAGTCATTATTCACAGATAAACTCATGTCTTATGTTGTAGTGGAAGTTAGTTCTTGATTAGTGCATGCCTGAACTCGTCACATTTTACATTTAGGCTAGATCATCATAGTTCATAATAATGTTTAGTTCACATAGTGCTTTGTTGTAAATTTAAATAACACATTGATATTGTAACTAAGACATTGTTTTTGTAACAGTGTGTAAATTCAAACAGTTTTGTAAAGTTACACAAAATAAAAATTTCTAGCAGCAGTACTAAATTAACAGAGAATCACTCACCTTTATTCATACGGCATGAAATGAAAACAATATTTTCGATGAAATAAACACTTGCTGTGACACCTTGAAGGAGTTTTTTTTTCAGACACTGTTTTCCTTTTTGTCACGTTTATTAACTAGCATAACTGATATTTCCAGAAAGTCTGCTTTTTATGCATAATACACGCTAGGCTTGTTGCAGAGAAGAGAAAGAGGAGAAGAGAACCAATGAGGAGAAATGTGTAACAGTATGTGTAAAAGTAACTTTTGTTGACATTTATAATAGTTCATAGTTATTAATTGTTGAAATGTGCCATACCATCATTTATTCAAATAATTGAACACTGCCACTTGCAGTTTTATATCTTTTCTGGCTTATTAGATTAGCTACGTCAACGTCCAGAATTTTGCCTAAAGGTGGCGCCAAAACACAAAAAAGGGGAAAGGGAAGCGGTATAACAAATGTAAACAAGTTATGCATAATGCGACGTTCCAACATTTTTTAAAGTGTAATGTGACAAATCTTTGTAAATTATCGGATGAAGTTGAAGCATTTGAAGTAACTTTTGTTGACATTTATAATAGTTTGAAGTGATTTATTGAGAAATGTGCCCTGACATTATTTATTCAAATCAATAAACACTGACACTTGCAGTTTTACTATCTTTGTTTTCTTATTAGGTTACTTAGATGGAAATGGGTCAACTAAATTACTAACACTAGAATATATTATTACTACACTGTAAAAACCATAAAGTTATGGTAACTAAAATCATTTGAGGAAACCAATTGCAACAAATCATTTAAGTTTAAAAACTTATCCTGAGTACTGTGAACTTAATCTACTTGAGTAAACGAGGCAATTTGAGCACAGTAAAACCCAATAAAAGAAGAAAAGTCAAACTGAGTACTGTAAAACCCTGTAAGTTAAGGCAACTCAAACCTTTTGAGGAAACCAATTGCTATAAACCATTTGAGTTAAACTAATCTATATGAATTCTGTAAACTTACTCCATTTTAGTAATGAGGTATTTAATTAACTCATTACTTTCAACACTGAGTTCAAAACTCTTTTCAAATGAGTAGATTTCATTTTCTGTCATTTTTGAGTTAACTACACTCATTTCATTTGATAAAGTTGGCTGTTGGGTTTTACAGTGTTATTTATGTAGATTAATTGCTATTTATTTTCAATTATTTGTACAATCCCCTAACAATAAAGGAAGTCACATTAGTGATGCAAACTTAAGCGTCACATTAAAATTATGACATTAAAATGACCAATTTCTGATAACTGAAAAATGGCAATGGAGACCTTTATGAAATAGAAAGAAGAAAAGCTGAGTCAGCAGTGATTATTATTTCCAAATGATAGATTTTTGTTAAACAGTAACAGCAGTGTCACAACTAAAGGAGACCACTACTTTCATTCTATATTTTTTACTAATATTTATTAATTTTCCTTTTTAATTATTCACATCATATATTTAATTGTAATGAATATATTATTGGATTTTGCATGCATTGAAAAAAATGATTCAAAGACGATTTTGTGGATTAACATTTTTTTTTTAAGTTAAGTGGTTGTGAACAATTTATTTGGGCTGAATTTAAACAAAAAACAAACCAACAAATAAAGTTAAACATTACAAAATTTTATTTGCTTATTTAAATTTAACAAAAATAAATAATTTGCAATGTTTGTAAGCTTTGCATACATCACAAAATTTGTTTTTGGGTACAAGCAGTTTTGTGACCCAATTGTTGCCACATTGATGACTCAAAAAGCTGTAATTATGCTATTGTCATTATGACAATTCAAACTGTGCTATTGTCTGTCTGACAATACTGTCCTTTACACATTCAAAGATTATTCTGGTGTCTGTAAAATCCTTTACACAGATGAACTGAGAGTAAATCCATGGGTCTGGTGTCGCGTTCCGTTCATATGATTTTAGCATGAACTTCATGGCATCGTCTGTGTTCTGAATGTTGCCTAAAGGTGGCGACTAGACACAAAGAAAGGGTAAGAGAAGCAGTTATAATTAGTTATGCATAGTTATGCATAATGCTGTTTCACTTCTATTAATCTGCAATGGAAAAATAATATATGAAAATTAACTGTTTTCATGTATTTTGTTGTTTATGTTTTGATTTTTAAAAATTTATTTATGTTTTTAATTCCATTGTGGGACCACTTATTAAGTTGAAACGTTTGAAAAAAATAACTTTTGCTGACATTTGTAATATTTCGAAGCTATAAATTGACTGGATTGGAACAAAAACCTGATAAACCGTCAGTACTTTTTTCTATTATTTACAAACTGAATTTTCTCTATAATAGCCTATTTCTTATACAAAAATAACCTTTTAAACTACAAACATGTCAATAAGTGTCAGTCTGTTAAACTTCTGAGATTCATTTTCAGCATCAAAAGTCAACAAAGATTCAAGGTCCCATAATGCAATTCATAACTATAAATAAATAGAAAACACTTGCAAATCACAAAATCAAAAAAAAAAGTTAGTTAGCAGTTTTTTTAAACCTTCAAATTCAGGAAAGAACGTTTTTAAATGCGAGAACTGAATCTTCCTGGCTAGGATGTCTTTTTTGTTCAGTAGGAGAAGGATGAAGGATTGAGCAAACCATGGCGAGTGGGTGACAGAATTGAACAGAGGCAAACTCTCCTCCATGCGGTTCTAGAGACAAAAAGAGAAAGAGCACAAAGATTAACAGATACAACAGCAGAAAGAGACACCAAGGTAAATACTTTAAATACAAGGACGGTGACTTGCATTGCTGTCAATGGGAGAAAGTGCCACCTGCACAATAGTAGATCACGTTTTGACATAAGAGACAGACATGTTCATTAATTTTGGTCTTTGAGTAAATGGAAAAGCCATTTATTTGCTTCATTTATGTGGTAGCTCATTTCAGATTTTTGTTGCTGATTTGAAACATTGGAAAATATATGAAAATAGCTGCTCACATTGGAAATATAGTTATTTGGTCACCCATTACAATAAGGTTTCATTAGTTTATGTTAGTTAATATATTTACTACCATGAACTAAGTATGAATGATATGTTCACAGCATTTATTAAGCATAATTCAACATTTACTAATGCACATTTAGGTTTGTTAACATTATAGGTAATGCACTGTGCATTAACATGAACAAACAATGAACATCTGCGTTTTCATTAACATAAACTAACATAAACAAAAAGGCCATTATTGTATAACTAAGCCTTATTAAAAAAACCTTATTGTAATGTAAATTTTTTTTTTTAATTTTAGGGAAAGAAGACAGCCAGAAACCTTGTTATTCTCCTCCAGAAACTCATCGTACTCGCTAAGAGAAGCTACAAATATGACAGTTGTCACATTTTCAAAGTGATGGATCCATTTCTTCCTTTGTCCTCTCTGACCACTGACATTAAAAAAACCTATAAAAGATCAGAAATCAAACAATGTCATCTCATACTTCTGCGATGTTGAGTCTGCGTGAACTTGAAGTTGCCAAGATTGTTATTATGTTGGCGTACTTTTAAGAGAGGTGTGGGTTTTTAAAAAAAATGTTGCTGTTGCACAATAAAACAATTTATTTCTGATGATTACATGGCAACATACAGCAATAAAAAAACAAGCCATGATTCATTCATTTTCTTTTTGGCCCAGTCCCTTTATTAATCCGGGGTCGACACAGCAGAATGAACCGCCAACTTATCCAGAATATGTTTTTATGCAGCAGATAACCTTCCAGCTGCAACCCATCTCTGGGAAACATCCATACACACTCATTCACACTCATACACTATGGACAATTTAGCCAACCCAATTCACCTGTACTGCATGTCTTTGGACTGTGGGGGACACCAGAGCACCCGTAGGAAACCCACGCGAATGCAGGGAGAACATGCAAACTCCACACAGAAACGCCAACTGACCCAGCTGAGGCTCGAACCAGCGACCTTCTTGCTGTGAGGCGACAGCACTACCTACTGCGCCACTGCGTCGCATACAAGCCATGATGTCTGAATATAATATTAAATTGAAAGAAAAAAAGGTTGAGGTCAAGAAAGACGGACGGCCACTACAAACATGGAAAATTTTGATTAAAGATTACAAAAACAAACCTTTTTTATTATATTATTTTTAATTGCATTGATCACATTAGAAGAAAATGGTGAGCTAGTAAAATAAACATGGTACATTTTGATTTCATTCAAATTTTAAATAGTGGCAAATCGTACTTTGTTAGAGGGACTTTTGTCAAATTGTACTTTGTTAAGGGGACTTTTGTCAAATTGTACTTTGTTAAGGGGACTTTTGTCAAATTGTAATTTGTTAAGGGGACTTTTGTCATAAACACTAGATTTAGAATGGTAATCAACACATGTATGTATATGGCAATGTTGAAGTATTTAGACTTAGCGGTATAAATCTGCTATGCTGCTGCTGCTTTGATTAATATGGCAGAGCAAGTACTGAGACCTGCTACTGCCAGTCAGGGCTGGACTGGGGCAAAAAAAATTGGGCCTGGCATTTTGGGCCAGAGCGGCCCACTACATTTAATCAAAATGCTATCTATCTGTGCATGTCCAATATGTTTATCAACTCCTATATTATAAAAACACAAAAGCCATATATATGAAATAAATAAATGCAGACATTAATCTCAATTTAATTTCTGTATACTGTCCATAAAGATATTTGTTCAGTTCTAAAAAATACACTATTCATTTATTTATTTTCCTTTGCCTTAGTCCCTTATTTATCAGGGGTTGCCACAGCGGAATGAACTGCCAACAATTCCAGCATATTTATGCAGCAGATGCCCTTCCAGCCACTACCCCGTATCGGAAATCACCCATACACACTGCCTTAGTCCCTTATTTTTCAGGGGTTGCCACAGCGGAATGAACTGCCAACTATTCCAGCATGTTTTATGCAACAGATGCCCTTCCAGCCACTACCCCGTATCGGAAATCACCCATACACACTCATTCACACACACACTCATACACTGTCCGATATGCACTATACTCTAAACTGCCCGGTCTGCCAGATGGCCAGTCCACCCCTGCTGCCAGGAAATATATAGACATGGCATCTGAGAATATAACACACTGCTGCTGCAAACCTAACATATATTTATAACCCACGTGGCGGATCTAAACACAGGTGGAGCTGGGGTGGAGGAGGGTCTCCAAAAATGTGCTGCAGCTACGTATCATTTAAACTGATGAAGAGCAAACTCACTGGCTGCCAGCAGGTGACATCAACCAATTTCCTGCACCATGATGCAGAAGCAGATTAGGTGACCTATCAGCCTGTGCACATATAGTTTCATGGCAGAAATTTCACTAGTTGATCATGGTCTTACCTAAATGTGACAGAGTTCATTGGAATGGTCAGCTCTGCAATGCCATTGGTGGGAGAGTGGGTACGGAAAATATCTGCAGTTATGGGGATGTAATTGTTGGCGGTGATCTGCTCCAGTCGATCAACAAAGCTATAAAACATATTTGTTATACTATGTTATTAGTTAGAAAGCAACAACAAATTTCATCAATGTAACTGAAACTTAACTGCATTCATAAAGCAACATGAGGAAAAGACATTATTGAAGAGAACTGTTCAACAAACTTACTATTCTAGACTAGTCAAGTGTCTGTGATTATCTTTGCAGAGTTTGAAGCAGTTCTTAAAGCCTTCATCTGCCCATAGATGACGAATGGGCTCTACAAAACTCAGCAACTCTGTTATCTGATGTGAGTCTTGATTCTGGAACTGCTGAGCATAAATCTATAAACATCACAGAAGTAAGGAGACTGACAGTACACAACAAGATACAATCTTTCTTAAACTGGTTAAAGCATACACGCAATTTTTCTAATCACACGATCACATGGCAGCAACTTAATGAACTTAGGCATGTAGACATGGTCAAGACGATCTGCTGCAGTTCAAACAGAGCATCAGAATGAGGAAGAAAGGTGATTACAGTGACTTTAAACGTGGTGGACGTGGTGGACGTGCCAGACGGTCTGGTCTGAGTATTACAGAAACTGCTGATCTTCTGAGATTTTCACACACAACAAATCTCTAGGGTTTACACAGAATAGTCCGAAAAAGAGAAAATTTCCAATGTGCGGCAGTTCTGTGAGCGCAAATGCCTTGTTGATGCCAGAGGTCAAAGGAGAATGGCCAGACTGGTTCGAGCTGAAAGAAAGACAACAGTAACTCAAATAATCAATTGTTACAACCAAGGTGTGCAGAAGAGCAACATTAAACAAACAACATGTCCAACCTTGAGGCGGATGAGCTACCTAAAAGAGAACCGTACCATACCACTTTTTGGTTACCCTTTGCAAAGGGTGCCTAGCAGGACTAAAGGGTGCCAAAAGGCAGAGCTACAGTAGACACACAGCTGAACGCTATTGGTTTGAAGAGGAGAAAAACAAAGGAGAAGCCTGAAAAAATGAAAGAGCGAATGATTTTTTCAGCAACCTAAAACATGAACAAACTGCCATGTTTAACTATTACCATCACTTTTTGGACTATTATAAACTCAGAATAATGGAATTACTTTCTAACAAGAGGTTACATGTGCAGGTGAAGATTAAAGACACAGATGAGGGGTTTGCACTGACTGTAGGCTATATGTTGCGTGTTGTTTTTGAATCTAAATAAGGACTAAATGTCTGTTGTGTGTAGTTTTTTTCTGTAGTTGGTAAAAATTGGAGACGGTAAGGGTCTGTATGTGTTCATGAATGTTCATTTATTTATTTATTTATTTTATATAATTGCAGACGTTACAGTAGGCTATTTCACACTGATCTCACTTGCCATTGATCTGCAGTTATAATCAAATCATGTTAGCCGAAAATTTAGCAATTAACATTTATTACTTTAGAGACCAATGGAAGACTTGAAGTGTCATCTCACCTATTACAAGCAATTTGATTTCTCTCCTTTCTCTTTTCCTCTGCTCAATAAAGCTGAGGTCGATTTCCTTATTTTTGGCGATGGCATTCTTCTTATTTTTAGACAAGCAGCAGACGCAACATCCACAGTAGTAGTAATCCCCCATTTTCTCCAACAAAAACAAAATTCAGTCAAACAATCAAACTGTATATTAAAAAATCTGTTGAGGGTTTTTTTTTGGGAATGATTCTATACTATTATCATTAATGTAAGCAACACTTAAAAACAATAGGCTATTTAGGACAACTGCACTAATACATCTACATTAACACACAAATACAAACATCTCCCACAGTGTTTAGAAAAACTCTACACATTTGTAAAAAAATATGTTTTTTAAAATTACATTTTAAAACAATCAAACAAACACACACATCTTAATGATACTAATAAAATAAAGTCACAAAGAGGAACAAAATAGGAAACAATATTAATTGTCCTTATAGAAAAAAAAGTGTCAGTGTTACCTTAAAGAAGTTATTTTTTATCCAGTTTTCTGTCTACTGCCTCATGTGTGTACACTACAAGATTGTTGCATTTTCTGAAAATAATGCTTTAATGCATCTCATTTCAGGTATGTTGTAGACAAAAAAGAAACAAAAAGGAAAGTCAAAGGAATGAGCCCTGACATTCCTCAACTGGCCTGCTGTTCCCATTTGTGTCATAGGTATATCAATACATCAACATGTTAATACCAAGTGTCAGGGTATGGGGTGGAAGCAGATGAGACGAAGACCCAAGTGCGGGATTTGTTTTTAAAAAGTTGAAAAAAAAAAAACAACAACAGCTCAACCTCACTTAATGACCATATTGAAGTGTCGCTTCAAACTGAAGTGTTTAGAACTGGCCAGTTGTAATGAAAGATTTCAAAGGGTACAAACGATGGACATTTCAGGTCCCTATAAACCTTTGAGCAGGAAAGGTTCCATTTCGAAGGGCTCATCCCTATGCTCTAGTACCTTCAAAGCTGTCACACTGGAGGATAAGACTTCAAAGCATAAGCCCTTCTGAATGGAATGCAGTGCCTGTCTGGGCTCTGTTTTTGTGAGACCTAGGCTGCGTCCGAAACCGCATACTTCCATACTATACAGTACGCTAAAATCAATATGAGAGCCGAGTAGTATGTCCGAATTCATTGAATTTGAAAATTAGTATGCGAGAAGTACCCGGATGACTTACTACTTCCGGCGAAATTCTGGAGTGCGCATCCCATGCACGCTGCGCTATCCCATGATGCCCCACGAGAGAATTCATGAATAAAAAGTGAAGCGACGCAACTGACGCAGGTAGGTCACATGACCATGACAAAATTGCGGATGTAGTTGTTGGAATATCTTGCCAATTCCATGCGTGTTCAATAAGAAAAGGTCTGGAGAGTTTTTTCTTCAATGCCAAAAATATTAGTAATTTATTAGATACAAATGAATGCTTTGATGACAGAGCTCTGGGTTACGTTACGTTAACAGTCCACCTGTTAAGATCAGTTGTGTATATATGCTGGAGTCAGGAAATGTATGTTAGTTGCGAACCTCCTGAATGTAATTCTTGTATTGCATTGGGGTAACGTTTGGTTTAACGTCACTTATCAGTCATTCTGCAGTCCCTTGGCTCTTTGTAACCCCTGGACATTACTTCCTCTTTCTGCAACCCTTCTCTGCATACCAGAACTGAACAATTACGTGCATCTTTAATATATTTCACAACTTCTACAAGCATCATGACAACTTGTGACATGTCTAGACTATAGTTCTGGAACAAAGGCCCCCACCCTCAATTTATTCTTATTCTGCTTTTCCACTTGTCAGCAGTTCTTCTAAAAAGTATGCAGCACAGTAAAAAAGAGGAAGTTTGTTTGGTCAAGATGTTTTATAATACAACAGAAAAGATTGATTAATCTGTTGTTAGTCTAAACATTTTCCTAATAAAAAAACACAAAAGTGATGAAAATAAATTCCTTTTCTCCAACATAGTACATCCGAATTCCATTCATACATTTCACATTCATACTGTATAGAACATACTTTTTGTAACGGTTAAGTAATATGTTTAAATTCAAATACAGTACCTACTGAGTAGTAGGCGGTTTCGGACGCAGCCCTAGTATTCCATTCATTCATTTTCCCGCCATGTTTACCCATAATCATTCACACCTGTTTGTAATTGTGATAGGATGGGTGTGGTGACTGACAGTTTCACCCCTCTATCAGCAGGTGGCACCCTGCTATATAAACTGGGAAGTTCGCCCTTACGGCACGTCACGTGTGACTTCAGGTCTTGTACGTTACTTCCTTGATTTGGTCTCTGGTTGGCAGTGTTTGCAGGTAAGTGCATTAGCTTTTGTCTGCTGTAAACCTGAGTTTTAGGGTGTACTCAAACTAGGTACAGTTGCCTTGAACTGGGCCAAAGCACGCTTGTCCCCTCTCCTGTCTCCCCCTATGGCCCGCACTCACATTACAATCGGGCCTGGGCACGCTTACATCATCGATGCTGCGCTGTTCAGTAAACGCTCTCGCTCAGCGCATTGGAGATTTCTCTAGTTATATCACTTTAGTCCTTAGGGATGCAGTGACACGCAGTCAAATATTTCGCCAAACACATCAGCCACTTTTGACGCTCATAAACAATCCTAAAGCCCTCATACTGTAGGAATTAGGAGGTTTGCTGAAGGTGCGCAGCTGTCGTGCAGTGAGGGGTTTGCGTATTTAATAAACTACGGCAGTTTGCATTCACTGAACAGTAAGAATGATTAATTTATCCATATCAAACAGTCCCTTAAAACTCACGTCTCGCTTTCAGATTCGGGCTTTGGCGCCTTTTGCACTCACACACAAGCGTACCACACCAAAGTCCAAGTGAACCACGCTCAGACACAGCTCTTCTAACCAGGCCAGGGCCGGCCAAGTAAACTGTGCCTGAGTCCGATTCAAACGATCCAGGGAAACAAGCCTGGGCACGGTACGGATAGCATAGTGTGGGTAGGCCCTTAGTGTAATACTCAGTGGCGTTGCAGGAGGGCTTTGGAGGCTTAAGCCCCTGATGTATTGTCAAAAGCCCTTGATCTTTTAGAATATGTTGCAATTAAATAAAAATAGGTTGTATAACATTTATTTTGTTGTCTAAGTACCTAAAATTGTGAGTAAATATTCAGCTGTTCAGCAGTACCTGTTTCTACCAGCAGGTGGGAGTGGCACTGTTGTTGTCACATGGTGTTAAAACAAATCCTGTCTTCATTCAGTCATTATTTTGAGGAGCTGAAGCTGATGAGGTGATAATACAACTGTTTCACCAAACTGAATAGTTCTACTACTGATGAAGCTTAATATTTGTTTTCACAGTATAAAATTTGTGTAGTTTTGGTGAACAAAAATAACTGTAATCAATAAAATGTGCATCATATCAATGTAAATACATGCAAATTAGCCAGAAAAACGTAAATTGTATTAGCTTTCTAGTAGGCATGGAACTATAACTGTTTTCAAGGCATATTGTGGTTTAGAAAAGTCAAGGTTTTAAAACCGTTAAAATATTTGGTAATACCTAAGGTAATTCCTAAGGTATGTGTAAGATTGTTTTAATTTACATTTTTGTTTTGTTTTTTAGGACAACAGTATCTCCAGCAGAAAAGAATCTCCAAAGATGCCGTTTTAAATTGTAAAGAAATCTGTGTTTTTGTAACTAACAAAGACAGCAAAAGTGAATGATTAATTATCATTATTTAGCCTGACATGTTTACTGTCCAAAATATTATAAATCTTTCAAAAATGTAAATATATTGTGCACTAAGGGGGAAAAGGTTTTGTTTTTTACCCAGACATTTAAAAAAGAACATATTTTAGAGCAGTAATCACAATACTGAGATACCGTGAAACTTTTATATTTTTATCCAAGGTTATCATACTGTCAAATCTACCCGCCCATGCCTAATTTCTAAATATGATATAGATATCTAGACATATTTATCTAGATATGATATAGCCAGTCACATCTGTTTCTGTAATAGTTAAATCACAGTGAGTTCATGCATCTAGCATATTATTTTATAGCTATATTTTGCAGTAACATGCTATCAGTTAGCATCAGATTATAAATCGACTTTCTTATGAAAATAGATGTCTGGAAGAACACAAATAAACCATTTATTGTGGCAGTCGTGTAAATGATCCGGTAAAGCGTTTTATCTTTATTCAGATCTTTTCATTCAACTACAGCAATAGCTGAATGCCTTCATCCATATTAGGGATTTCCTGAAATGTTCTACTTTTGTGAGGCATATATGGAATTTCTGCTAAAGTATGAATGAAACAGGCATTACATGCATTTAAAGTGCTACAATGCCCACATCACCCTGTTTTGAGGAAAACTGAAAATAAGTAAACATTTAGTAAATGAGAAGTGTGTTAATTTATTAATGTTTTTTTTCCTTTTTGATGTTACAAGTCATAGCGCTTGACAGTCTTTTAACAATAAATTGTGAACTCAAAAACCCTTTATTTATTATTGAACCATTTATAATCCTGTTATTAAGATTAGAGTAGATCGCCTTTTGGAAGTAAGAGAATTTTAGCGTGGTGAATTAGAACCTTTTTTGTGTGTGTTTTGGGGGAGTTTGTGACGTCTCAACTTTGCTGGCCTATTAGATTAATTCAACGTCCTGAATTTTGCCTAAAGGTGGCGCCAAACCACCAAGAAAGGAAAAGGAAGCGGTTATTTATTAATTCATTTTCTTGAAGGCTTAGTCCCTTTATTAATCCGGGGTCGCCACAGTGGAATGAACCGCCAACTTATCCAGCAAGTTTTTACGAACCGGATGCCCTTTCAGCTGCAACCCATCTCTGGGAAAGGGAAGCGGTTATAACAAATGTAAACAAGTTATGCTTATTGCAACGTTTCACTTCTATTAACGTGCAACGTGAAAAATATTCAATTCAGCTTTATTTGTATAGCGCTTTTACAATGTAGATTGTGTCAAAGCAGCTTCACATAAATGGTCATAGTAACTGGAACAGTGTGGTTCAGGTTTTAGTGTTTAAGTTCAGTTCAGTTCAGTTTAGCTCAGTTCAGTGTGATTTAATCATTACTGAGAGTTCAAACACTGAAGAGCAAATTCATCAATGCGTAGCTCTACCAATCCTGAACCATGCGAGGCAGTGGCGACAGCGGAGAGGGAAAAAAAACTTCACCTGATGGGAGTGAAGAAAAAAAACCTTGAGAGAACCAGACTCAGTTGGGCACGACCATTTTAATTTCTCCGCTGGCCAAAAGTCTTGTGCAGAACTTCATTCGCCGTGGTTTATGCTGGAAGATGGCCTCAATGAAGACTCGTCTGTCCCTGGAGCGTCGCTGGGATCAGACTCATGTTCTCCACTCCCCACGACCATCAGCGCAGCAGCAGCTCAGGATATGGCCTGGTCCCGGATATGGAATCCTTGGTATCATCACGTCGCTGGTCTTGGATCCAATCAGTGACTCCGCCTAATCTGAGGACCTCGGGATGAGTATAAAATATCCATAAATTCCCTGTTTTCTGGTGTTCATTTTGTTTTTGCTTATGATGTTTAATTGCATTATGGGACCACTTATAAAGTTTAAACGTTTGAAAAAGTAACTTTTGTTGACATTTATAATAGTTGAAAGTGATTTGTTGAGAAACGTGCCCTGACATATATATTCAAATCAATGAACACTGGCACTTGCAATTTTGCTATATCTTTGTTGGCTTATTAGGTTACTTAGGTGGAGATGGGTCAACTAAATTACTAAAACTAAAATATATTACTACTAAATTATAAAATAATTAATTTCTATTAATTTTTGTACAATCCCCCAACAATAAAGGAGGTCAGACCTGTGACGCCAACTTAATAGATAAACATGATCAATTTCTGATAACTGAAAAATGTGAGTGGAGTTACAATGGTCCTTTCTTCATAGATCTTCATGAAATAGAGAAAAAAAATCTAGTTATGGCAGCAGTGATTGTTATTTTGAATTATAGTTTTTTGCTAAACAGTAACACCAGTGACACCAGTGAACTAAAGTGGACCAATGCTTTCAATCACATTTATTTATCTTCAGCTTAGTCCCTTTTATTCATGAGGGATCATCACAGTGGAATTAACCGCCAACTTATCCAGCATGTTTTACACAGCGGATGCCCTTTTAGTTGCAACCCAGTACTGGGTAACATCCCTACACACTCATTCACTCACACATACACGACAGCCAATTTAGTTTATTCAATTCACCTATCGCGCATGTCTCTGGACAGTGCAGGAAACTGGAGCATCTGGAGGAATCCCACACGACCATAAGAATAACAAGCAAATTCCACAGAAATGCCAACTGGCCCAGCCAGGACTCAATCCAGCGACCTTCGTGCCAACCGCTGAGCCACCATGTCGCCCAGGACCACTACTTCCGTTATATATTTTGTAAGTATTATTCATGTCCCATTTTTATTTTATTCACATCATATATTTAAAGGTAATGAATACATTGAGTTTTTAATGGTAGAAAATCTATTTTTCTGCACATGGCTGCACAAATGGCTGCAATTGTTCAAATAACACATTGTTTCATTTAAAATATAAAGAAATTGTAAACCTTAAGAATTTTTCAGGTGTATTATTTCTGTTAAGTCTTTGGACAGAAAAAAATATATATATATTTCTGTACAATGACCCCTAAACAGTCTGTTCCTGCAGTGTGCCTTAGTCTCATTATATTACTTCATAATTGGCCATTGTCTGTCTGAGAATAGTGTCCTTTACAGCATCGAAGAATATTTTGGTGTCTATAAAATCCGTTGCACAAATGAACTGAGAGTAAATCAATTGGTCTGGTGTCACGTTGCGTTCATATGATTTTAGTATGAACTTCATAGCATCGTCAGCGTCTTGAATTTTACCTAAAGGTGGCGCAAAAACACAAAGACAGAGAAAAGAAATCTGTTATAACAAATGTAAACAACTTACGCGTAATGTTGTTTCACTTCTAATAATGTGGAAAAATATCTGTAAATTAAGTGTTTTCTGTATGTATAATTAGTTTTTTTGTTTATTTATGTTTTTAAATTCCATGGGACCTCTTGAAGTTGAAATGTTTAAAAAAGTAACTTTTGCTGACATTTGTAATATTTCGAAGTGTTAAATTGACTGGATTGGAAAATTAAGGTGCAAAAACCTGATTAAACTGTCAGTACTTTTTCTATTATTTTAAGACGAAATTCTCTACATATTATTTTTCATACAAATATAGTGTCTCAAACTACAAACATGTCAATAAATGTCAGTCTGTTAAACTGCTGAGATAAATTTTTTGGCATCAAAAGATGACAGAGATCCAAGGTTCCATAATTACACTGGCTGAGAGAGCTTAATAAGAAAATTCAAATTGAAAAACAATGTTCATCTGTTTGACAGCAGATGTGCTGCAAATCCTCACAACGCAAACACATTTTCTAAAGACGCGCTGCATTTTCTCACAACGCAAATAAATTGTGCTGCATTTTCTCACAACCCAAACAATTATTAAAATGTGCTGCATTTTCTCACAACACTTTCAAACAGCACAGAACACAGCAGAAATGTTTTAAGAAGACCCTAAAACATGACAGATCTGGCTATTTAGGTTATGATTTATTTATACAAAAGACAAAGGAATCAGGATAATAAATTTAAAAAAAAATTTAAGATTACCTAGAACTTCACTGAGCAATGCGCTTGTTAAGTCACAATGTATGGAATACTGTTTCCAGGACCAAGCCGTTGAGAAAATATTCGTTTATGACCACTTTTTAATCATATCACACATTAAAGTAAATTGTATATAAAATCTTGGTGTACACAACAGTCTCTGGATTTGCTACATCACAGGCACCAATATTTTACCAATTTATAAAAAATGTATCACTTTCTGGCCATCTGATATTAGCCATGAAGTCAGAACCATTAGCCACCCTGAATTATTAGACCACTTGTTTATTTTTATTTTTTTACAGTTTCTGTTTAAAGAAGAATACATTTTTTCAACACATTTCTATACATGATAGCTTTAATAACTCCTTTCTAATAACCATGATGACAGTAAATAATATTTCCCTAGAAATTTTTCAAGACACTTCTATACAGCTTAAAGTGACATTTAAAGCCTTAACTAGGTTAATTAGGTTAACTAGGCAGGTTAGGGTAATTAGGCAAGTTAATGGTGGTTTGTTCTGTAGCCTATAAAAAAAAAAAAAAAAAGCCTAAAGGGGCTAATAATTTAGACCTTAAAATGGTTAATAATAAATTTAAAACTGCTTTTATTCTAGCCAAAATAAAACAATTAAGACTTTCTCCAGAAGGAAAAATATTATCTGACATAATGTTAAAATTTCCTTGCTCTGTTAAACATCATTTGGGAAATATAAAAAAAAAGAAATAAAATTCAAAGGGGAGGCTAATAATTCTGAATTTAACTAAGCTGCTTCTTGTGATAAGCAGATAGTCATGGCACATCGGCGTCCGTCATGTTTCTGGGTATCCTTGAAACATTTGTTGTGAGTGTTCTGAGAAAATGCAGCACGTTTTCGTAAATTGTTTGCATTGTGAGAAAATGCATCACGCTTTATTAATTTGTTTGCGTTGTGGTAAAATGCAGCACTATTTTTTTTTATTTGTATGTGTTTATATGTTTGTGTGTGTGTTTGCAGCGCATATGCAGTGAAACAGATGAAGATCTTGCTGGTATTTTTTGTAATTGCCTGTTTTTCTTAAATTGTAACACAGTAAACTCTCTCAGCCACTGTACATAATTCAATTGATAACCATTAATAAATAGAAAACACTTGCAAATCACGACATTTTTTTTACCCGTAAATTCAGGAAAGAACGTTTTTAGATGTGAGAACTGAATCTTCTTGGCTAGGAAGTCTTTTTTGTTCAGTAGGAGGAGGATGGAGGATTGAGCAAGCCATGGTGAGCTGGTGACAGAATTGAACAGAGACAAACTCTCCTCCATGCGGTTCTAGAGACAAAGAGAGAAAGAGCACAAAGATGAACAGATTCAACAGCAGAAAGAGACACCAAGGCGGAAAGGTAAATACTTCAAATACAAAGATTGTGCATAGGTTTGCTGTCAATGAGAGAAAGTGCCACCTGCAATATGGTAGATCATGTTCTGGCATAAGAGACAGAAATGTTAATTAATTTTGGTATTTGAATTAATGGAAAAAGCTGTATATATGCTCTGTGCGTTAACATGAACTAACAATAAACAACTGTATTTTCATTAACATAAACTAACATAAACAAATAGACCTACTGTAATAAATGTATTGTTCATAGTTTGTTCATGTTCATAACTAATAGAACCTTATTGTAAAGTTTTGCCCGTTATTTTCAACACGGGCTCATTCTGAAAACGTCCCCCTATATACATTTCTGGAGATTGCGAATTATGGAGCCAGACCTACATATGGCTGCAATTGTCTTTAAAATGAACGCTACAGGGCAGTATGACCATAGACTGTAAAAGATATGGAAATACATTACCCTTATGTTTCAGAATAAGGCAAAAGCAGCTACATGTAGGCGTCGGTGGACTTGAGACGCAGAGCAGAGTTCATCACGCCAAAGAGGTTTGAGTCCGGTGAAGAACGGTTCCAAATAGTGGGTAAGACAAAAACAGAAGCCAAAAAATAAATAAACAAGTAAATAACAAAGTAAGAATGTGGTAAAATATGAAAACATGTTAAAACTCAGGCAAGGGCTTTTCTTTTACTGGATTTCTTTTAAAAACATTATTGGTTGGGTTTATGGAAGGTGGTGATGGTGGTGGGAGTATTGTTCAGTCGGTCAGTCAGCCAGTCAGTTTGGTGAATATGGGGGATTTCCGTGAGAATAGCAGGCGCAAATGACACTCACGAGAGAAATTTTAGATCTCAAAAGCATTCACATTAGCCTCTGGTGGATTTGCAAAACCAAAAACTGCAAAAAAAAAAAAAAACATGCCTCCAGGGACGTATTTGGCACTCTCCAGAAATGTATATAGAGGTACGTTTTCAGTATGAGCCTGGGTTGATGATTTTACTTAAAAGAGATTTTTACGGAAAGAAGACAGCCAGAAACCTTGTTATTCTCCTCCAGAAACTCATCGTACTCGCTGAGAGAAGCTACAAATATGACAGTTGTCACATTTTCAAAGTGATGGATCCATTTCCTCCTTTGTCCTCTCTGACCACCGACATTGATAAACCTAAAAAAATAAAACATAAAATTAGGTAATCTCATACTTCTGTGCTGAGTATGCGTGAGTTTGAAGTTGCCATAACTTTTATTATGTCAATGTACTTCCAATTGAAACAGAATATTGGATAGGGCCTGTAGAGGCTAAGCCTATTGCTTGAAGTCCCTGAGATGTTGTTAGACAGGCACCCAGCTGACTCACACTGTCCTCTGGCTGATGAAGTGTAAACGCAATGAACAGTCTTACTTGTCTCCTTGGATATTTAGGTTTGTTGTAGTTGCAAACTCCAGTAGTTCACAAGTTTCCTTCCAGGTAAGTTTCCGTTCGTAAACATCAAACACTGCCACATATCGTGACTTACAAGCCAACAAAACAAACCGTCACGCTAAAGCGTGAATGAATGTGTATGAGTGTGTGAGTGTGTGTGTGTGAATGCGTGTGTAGTCAAAACTGTATTTGCTCCCTTCCGTCTAGCAACACCTGTTACCTGAATATTCGTTCCCACTTATGAAGCTTGTTTAAAGAGCACCACCTAGTGGAACAATGAACAGTTGCAGAATGGCTCCTAGCCAACGGTAGGAGGGGTGTGGGTTTAAAAATGCGTATTGCTTTTGAACAATTTAATATTTTTTACAAACTGGGGGTTACATAGCAACATACAAAAAAAACAACAACAAAAAACAAGCCACGATGTCTAAATCAGACGTTAAATAAAAAAATGTGGGATTTGGTTATGAATAATAATCTATAAAATTGCTATAGAAGCCCTCAGGTTGACGTCAACAGAATAGGAATGTGGAAGCCAGCGGTCAGACTTTATTGATTGAAGATTACCAAAACAAACTTTTTTTTGAGTGGATTAACTTGCAGAGATCCACTGTTCACCTTAAGAATAACAATTTGAAAAATAGCTAAATAAACATTGTATATTTTAATTTCATGCAAACTTTAAGTAGTGGCAAATCGTACATACCTAAACGTGAAAATTTGCATAGGAATGGACAGCTCTGCAATGGCATTGGTGGACGATTGGACACGGAGAATATCTTGTATTGTGGGGATGTAGTTATTGGCTGTGATCTGGTCCAGTCGATCAACAAAGCTATAAAACAAATTTGATGTACTTATAAGTTGGAAAACAACAACAAATTTCATCACTGTCTGTAACTGAAAACCATTCTGTGTGCTAAATGTTTTTGGTGGCATTGTTGACTGCATTCATTAAGCAACGTCAGGAAAAGACATTATTGAAGAGAATTGTTAAACAAACTTACTATTCTAGACTAGTCAAGTGTCTGTGATTCTTTTTGCAGAGTTTGAAGCAGTTCTTAAAGCCTTCATCTGCCCATAGATGACGAATGGGCTCTACAAAACTCAGCAACTTTGTTATCTGATGTGAGTCTTGATTCTGGAACCACTGAGCGTAAATCTATGAACATTACAGAAGTAAGGAGACTGACAGTACACAACAATACAAGATACAATCTTTCTTAAACTGGTTTAAGCATATATGTATATAGTTTTTTTTTCCTAGGGCAAATTTTTTAAAGGAGCTGTTGACATGGAATTGAACCAGATTTTGGCAAAAAAAACAACAACAACAACAACAACAACAACAAACAATACAAACATAAAAATAAAAAAATAGTACTGGACTACTGAAATGTATTTAATATTTTATATAAAAGGCTTCAACAGAGTGTAAAAATCTTGATGGTTCTGTGGGTCTGATTTTGTATCATCTATTGGATTCAAGTCAGGTGATTGACTGGGCCATTCTGCAGCTTGATTTTCTTTCTCTGAAAGCATTTGAGAGTTTCCTTGGCTTTGTTTCGGATCATTGTCTTGCTGAAATGTCCACTCTGGTTTCATCTTCATCCTCCTGATAATGTGATTGTTGGACTAAAGCAGCAAATATTCATTTACAATGAAGAAGGGCAGAGGTTTGCTGAATAACTACTGAGCGATTTCAGCTGCTGTCTGGGCATTCACTGCCTTTTTACACTTCCCTTTCTTTACGTGTTCAATACCTTTTTCCCTTTCATTTTATTACGCATAACTTAATTTGTACACCAATTAGATTCGTTTTCTTTGAATATATGGATTTCTTTGGTTGTTATTCACACCCGGTAAGAATTTCAAGTCAACGACACCTTTAGGAATATGTTTTCTGAGAAAAATTATAACTTGTTCAATACATATTTCCTTCATTTTGAATTGAATTCTATATTTATTGCTTGCATCTGTCAAAAATACCAGACGCTTATCATAGAGAGCTATTAACATGCCACACATGTGCCCAGTGGAAATCAAGGGTGAAACAAGCATAAGTGTCTCAATCACCTGGTTCTGTGGATTGGTATAAGGAATCCTGAGCTCACTCATGGCATCTGTCATTGTTTTCATAGACAGGAAGATATTCTGGTGCACCAGTTTACTGAAGCCACGCCTCTCATCTTCTGAATAACCATTTCCATGACTCATTTTTATCTGCTTCAGAAGAGTTGACTTTCCACTTTCTGCTGAGCCTAAAACAAAACAAAACAAAAATAAACACTGTACAGGAAATGTGAACAGGAAATGAAAAACTGAAAAACAGAAGATGCCCAGACTAAACTTTTACTTTTAGAGACCAATAGAAGAAGACTGAAGTGTCATCTCACCTAATACAAGCAATTTGATTTCTCTTCTTTCTCTTTTCCTCTGCTCAATAAAGTCGAGGTCGATTTCCTTATTTTTGGCGATGGCATTCCTCTTATTTTTAGACAAGCAGCAGATGCAACATCCACTGTGGTAGTAATCCCCCATTTCTCCAACAGAAATTGCACATTCAATCAAATATTCAAAGTGCACATTAACAAAATTACTCAAGTGTTTTGGTTCTGGAATTATTCTATATTATTATCATTTAACTGAAAAATGAAAGCAGCACCTAAAAACAATAGGCTATTTAGGACAACTGCACTCATACATCTAAATTAACACACAAATCCAAAATAGTGGTTTGCAAAACTCTACACATTTGTAAAAAAAATATGATTTTTATAATTACATGTGAAATTCTTTTACAGACAAACACACACACTCACACACACGTTTGTTTTTGTGAAAAGTGGGTACATTACATAGGTTTCCATTCATCTTATACTGTTCAAACCGTAAATTGTATTGCCATACCCCACCCCACCCCTAAACCAACCATCACAGGAGACTGTGTGCAGCTTTACTCTCTGATTAAACTCATTCTGTAGGATTTATAAGGTTTTTGAGAAATGAGGACATCACCAATGTCCTCATATTTCACCTACTTTTTTTAATACCTGTGTCAAACCCATGTCATTATACAGATTTGTGTCCTGATATGTCACAAAAACACGTACACACACACACACACCTTCATGATAATAAAAAAATGTCACAAAGAGATTCTCGGTCAAGAGATCCACTTTAATTTATCACCTAACAGCACAAAATAGGAAACAAAAAAAAGTGTCAGTGTTACCTTAAGCACTGTCTTCTGTCTCGTGTTCACGTCAAGCTAGTTTCATTTCCTGAAAATATGGCTTTAATGCATAACATTTCAGGTATGTTGTAGACAAAAGAGAACCAATACGAAGTCAAAGGAATGAGCCCTGACATTCCGGAATTGGGCTGTTGTTCCACTTCGTGCCACTGGCATATCAACACATTATTATATATACCAGGGTTTTTCAAAGTCAAAGACAGTGGGCCTCCCTTTTGACACAACTTATCCATTGGCGCCCCCCTCCTTCCAAACACGCACATATATATATATATATATATATATATATATATATATATATATATATATATATATATATATAGTATATATAAAGACACAGACAGATGTCAGACTGTTAACTCACTTTTATCATCATTTGCATGAAAGTGCAATTATTTACAGAGTAATAACAAGTATTTTAATATAATTTTTTAAAAACTAGGATTATGGTTCAATATGAATAGAACAGATCCAAGAACTGTCCATTCTAGTCAAAACAGTCTAGCGGGCCGCATGCTGTCATTAGCCAAAATGTCTTGACAAACCACACATAAAGGTCGTGGTTCATCAGCTGGTCCTGTCTACATAAATCCTAAACTCAAATACTGACCATCATATCGTCGTCTTTTGGGTTTAAGCCCTGAACTTGAAGGCTTTGAATTGGGGGTCTCAGAAACCAATCCATTGTATTAGCAGGCATATACCTGTATTGGCAGGCTTGCCAAACAGAAGCTAATTCACAGCTATGGCCTTCTGGGAAAAAAAGGTTTTGTTATTTTTGACGTATTATTTTTTTTTAGCTTTGTTCAATTAAAACGTTTAAATACAATAAAAAATACAATTAATGATTAAACTTAATAATTATATTTTATTATATAATATTTTTTCCCGCGCCTCCCCTGACATGCTCTGGCGCCCCCCAGGGGATGCGCGCCTCACACTTTGAAAACCCCTGATATATACAGTATAGCACATGCCAAAGTATATATACACACACACACACACACACACACACACACACACACACACAGTTGAAGTCAGAATTATTAGCCCCCCTTTGAATTTTTTTTCTTTTTTTGGATATTTTCCAAATGATGTCTAACAGAGCAAGGAAATTTTCACAGTATGTCTGATAATAGTTCCTCATCTGGAGAAAGTCCCCTTTAAGCTGTATTTTTTTTCTCAATGATCTACAGAACAAACCATTGTTATACAATAACTTGTCTAATTACCCTAACCTGCCAGTAGTTAACCTAATTAACTGTATCTCAACCAGTGGATTGTAATTAGGATAATGAGGGAATAATTCACATCTGGCCATGGAAATTGTCCCATTGCTTTTGGTCCCTTAGCAAGTAGGAGGCACACATCGAAATTGTGGTATTTTCTATTGCGTTCACCTGATTTGGATGTAAATACCCTCAAATTAAGCTGACAGTCTGCAGTTAAAGCACATCTTGTTTGTTTCATTTCAAATCAATTGTGTTGGTGTATAGAGCCAAAAATGTTAGAATTGTGTCGATGCCCCAATATTTATGAACCTGACTGTATATCTCACTTGTTCACTTACTACCCTTCGGTTTAGTCCCAGGGTTCTCACAGTGCAATAAACCACCAATTTGAAAAAATAAATAAATAAAATAACATAAATTAAAGTGTATATATATATATATTGTAGCGAGTCTGCTGATACCACGTCGCCCTGGTCACAAATTCACCCCAGCTGGAAACTCATCAGCACCGGATCGCTCACAGCTGGACCTCATCAGCCAGGGAGAGATAAAAGCCAGCCCCACACAGGAGGAAACTGAGCTTCATTTCCACATGACTCCCTGCGCTAACGCTTGTCTCTCTCTGTCTCTCCCACAGCCGAATCCAGCTCGTGACCGATCCAACACCAGAACTCTTCACCATCTCCCCGGAGCACTTGAGCACGCACCCTTAAGAAGAGCACTCATTCACCCCTTTTACACTTGTAAATAAAGCACCCTCCGGGGCATTGTTTGTAACATCATCTAACTGTGTTTGTGTTTTCCCTCTGCCTCGCTACAACTGGTGGAGAATGCAGGCATTGCAGAGGGAAAAAATCTGAAGAAACACTTACCAGTAAGGAGAAATAACCGCTGAATTTTTCTTTGTTTGTGTTACAGACAGGCATCCGCTCTCTTTCTCTCCCACGCTTCCTCTTACTCGGCTGTCAACATCCCATCGCCATGTCTCTGGAAGAGGTACTGCTCCACCTAGCGGAGATCTCCAGTAAACAGAATTCCATCTCTGAGCAACTTACAGCCAGACAGGATCGACTGGAACAACAGCTCCGCCAGGCGGCCAGATACCATCCGACTCCCGAAGTGAGTGCGCATCATCATCTCACTAAACTCCGCGACCTGGATGATATTGACGCATACTTGCATACCTTTGAAGTCATTGCCGAGAGAGAAGGCTGGCCGAAAAAAAACTGGGCGAGAATGTTGGCTCCTTTTCTCACAGGAGAAGCACAACGGGCATATTTTTCACTAGAGACACCCAAAAATGAAGATTACAAAGCGTTAAAAAAGGAGATATTAGCCAGAATGGGGCTCTCCACAATCAGCGCAGCACAACAGTTCTCCCAGTGGTCTTATGACGAGAAACAGCCAGTGCGGACTCAAGCAGCTCAACTTTCTCGCCTGGGAAGACTATGGTTATTGGGAGGAGATCCTTCGGCGGTCCAGGTCGCTGAGAAGGTGATTATTGAGAAGATGATGCGAGCGTTACCCCGACGTTTGCGAACACTCACCAGCATGCGAAATCCTGAGTCACTGGCCACCCTGGTGGAGGCGATCGAGCTGGCTGAAGCTCACATCGCCAGAGACAATGGGGAGAGAGCGGCTCTGCCACTCCGGAGGGTAAGTGCACCATGGCGACCGGTGGAGGGTACAGCACGACCAGGCGGCAGACCAGCGGTCCCCAGCCCGATGGACGAGCCGATGCCCACCGAGCCGACGACGCACTCGACCCCGGCCTGGACAGCAGGGTGCGCGGTACACCGCAATATCCCTCCCGAAGCTCCCACCCATAAAATCCTGTTAGAGGGAAAAACACAAACGGCCACGTTAGACACAGGAAGCGCCATCACTCTGGTTCACCCGAAAACTTTAAAATACCACCATGAAAGCAAAGGGCGATTTCCGATCACGTGTGTGCACGGTGATACCCGCCACGTACCCGCCCAAAGAGTGACCATCGCGGCAAAACCAGGCAGCTGGCGCATCGAAGTCGGGGTTGTTCCGGATCTTCCTGTGCCCCTCATACTGGGCAGAGACTGGCCGGGGTTCGACGAACTCCTGACTCACCACCACGCTCCATCGGCTTGTTCAAAGAAGAAGAACAAGTCACGGGCTCATCGGGACCGCAAACCAGCGCTGATGACCACCGAGAGCGACAGAGGGGGTGAGTCATCCATATCCGCTAATTTATACTTTGATCTGTTTCAACAGATAACCGCAGGAGGCGATTTTGGCAGAGCACAAAGGGAAGATGAGACGCTCAAACAATGTTGGCTGCAAGTAAGGATCATTGACGGTAATGAGCGACTTCCCAGCCCTCACCCCCTCCCACATTTTATTGTGGAAAATGGTCTGCTGTACTGTGTGGCAGAGAGGCGGGGGGAAAAGAAGACACTACTGGTCGTTCCGAGGACCAAGAGGGAGACAGTCTTAGAATTGGCACATACCCACCCGATGGCTGGACATCTGGGAGCGGCCAACACTGTGAAAAGGATCCGCGATCGTTTCCATTGGCCGGGGCTAGACGGGGAAGTAAAAAGGTATTGCCAGGCATGTGACATCTGCCAGAGAACGTCTCCCCAACGACCACCCCCCAGCCCTCTAATACCACTACCCATCATTGATGTGTCCTTCACCCGCATTGGTATGGACTTGGTAGGGCCTTTGCCGAAGTCGGCCCAGGGACATGAACACATCCTTGTCATCCTCGATTATGCCACCAGGTACCCTGAAGCGATTCCCCTGAGGAAAGCCACGTCATCGGCCATCGCGAAGGAGCTGTTTCTTCTATGCAGTCGAGTGGGAATTCCAGCAGAGATACTGACCGACCAGGGCACCCCCTTCATGTCCCGGTTGATGGCAGACCTCTGTCACCTCCTCAAGGTAAAACAAATAAAAACCTCAGTATACCATCCACAGACTGACGGCCTTGTCGAGAGGTTTAACAAGACTCTGAAACAGATGCTCCGACGGGTGGTGGCAGAGGACGGGCGTGACTGGGACCTCATGATCCCGTA